ATCCAAGAACAAATTCACTTATTTTAAGTAAATAATGACTAATCTAGATTTAATTTCTTTCCAGTGAGTCAATATGACATTTGAGACATTAGTTTTGTATGTATGATGAGTGTGTTTAATTTGTTCTTGAATGCATGTTGGGTTCTTTATTGTATTCCTGTTCAATTTCTGAGATGCTAATGCTACAGGCTAATAAGTAAGTATTTCCCCAAAGAAAAATCCTAAAGTGTCGGAGGCTGAAAAAGCAGCTTTTCTGTATGGAATAACTTTTTTTTCCCATTATTGTCGAAGCAAAGAACACATTTTGTAAATAGAAGTTTGAGCTAAAAGGACAATTTAGAAATAAAATTTTTAGAAACTTTCTGATAATAGTTTTTGAAAAGAATGCATTATGTAATCCTCAATCTGAAACACAGAAAATTTGAAAAAATGTAAGATATAAAAATACGATTGATCAAACCAGATAAATAAATAAAAAATGTAACAATGAAAAAATAAAAAAGAAAGTTTCCTTTCTGGATTATATTCTTTTTTCACATTTTCCTTTTCAGAACATGTTCTTTTGCTTTGCAACAATAATGACACTAAAATTCATTCCATAACTCTGAAACAAGTTGGAGAGGCCTGCAACCAATCTGACTGGAATGGATTAATTTAATGCTCAGTGATGTGTGCCTGATCAGCCTCACTCAGGTGGAGCAGAGGGACCAGGAAAAGGCGCTCGCAGCTGCACTCTCTGACAGCCTCTGGTTGGCCGGTCAGGAGGAGCGAGCCACTGTTACCTTGGTAACTGAGGACTACTGCATCACTCCCCACCTGGACTACAAGATGGACAACTTTACGGAAAAGGTTAGTTGTGTCCAGGCCGTCTAAATTCCTCTCTCTGCGCTGATGACGTCCATACTGAATCTATGATGCGTTTCAGTTGCAGCTGTTCACATTCGACAAGAAGGAGGACGTCCAGAAGTTCATCATGAACCATATTAAATGTGTGAGTAAATCCAGAAATCAGCATGAATGATTGATCCCATATAAAGCTGAAATGGGCTTTTGATCAGCGCATGGACGGAGGTAGGCATCAAGGTTGGAAAAGTGGAAAAATAAATCTGGAAGACCTTTGAAAACCAGGATTTTCTATCTGCTTTTAGTTTAAAGAGGAGGGGAGCCATGGAGTCATCCTGTTCTTGTATAGCCTGATCTGCTCCCGGACAGTAGAGAGGTAAAACCAAGACCATCCATGGTCTGACCAAACAGACACCATGGATCTGAGTGAAACTGAATTAGGCTACATTCAGACTGCATGCGCTAGAGGCAGCAGGAGCAGCTAATTTACATGTTAAGTCAATGGTGACGCACATCAAGGCGCAGCAAAAGTTCTTGCAGTGCGTTTTGAGCAGCAGGAGCAGCGCGTCATGAGCTTCTGAGCATCTGACACGTG